ATATCAATCAGAGCTTAGTTTGGTGGCTCGCAGAATGACATGCGCTTGGCTGTCATTTCAACGATCTTGTCATGTTTTTTTTTTTTGGTTGAAAATGTTTGAAAAGTCGAGTCAGAGTGTGATCCAGAGGTGAATCTTAATTTTTGGTAAATTAATGATTTTGTTTTAATTTTTTTCGTTTTTTTCTCTCGCTGATTTTACATATGTATATATATATATATATATATATATATATATATATATATATATATATATATATATATATATATATATATATTATAATATATATATATATATATATTATATATAATATATATATATATATATATATATATATATATATATATTATATATATATATATATATATAAAGTCTCTATATATAATATATATATATATATATATATATATATATATTATATATATATATATATATATATATATGTATATGTATAAACAAATATAAAATGCGTAATAATATTAAGATTACTAATAGTTGCCAAAGAGAAATTTATCTTACATACATCACCAAAGGACACAGACATATAAACAAAAGAAAATAGAAAAAGGATGATAATCTGATACATTAAGCAAAAACAGAAAAAAAAAAGAAAAAAAATATACAAAAAAAGATAAAAAAAAAAATTGAAAACGTCAGCATACTTCCTCGACACAACCCCCCCCAAAAAAAAAAAAAAAAAAACGAAAACAAAAAGAATCAAATCCTCTCGGTATCCGGCCGCAGCGCAACCGTAATGGCCGCCCAGGGTATCCGGTTCCGTCTTAGAGGGAGAGCTGATAAGGACAAGGAAATCCTTAAGGCGTCAAGGTATAAAAATCCACACATCTTGCCAGGTGGTCGACTATTGGCTATCTTTTTTGTTCTCTCTCTCTCTCTCTTTCTCTCTCTCACTCTCTCTCTCTCTGTCTGTCTGTCTGTCTGTCTCTCTCTCTCTCTCTGTTTATCTATCTTCTCTCTCTCCCTCTTTCTCTGTTTATCTATCTCCTCTCTCTCTCTCCCTCTTTGTACACACACACATATATATACACATACATATATTTATTTATCTCTCTCCATCCCTCTCTCTCTCTCCCTCTCTCTCTCTCTCTCTCTCTCTCTCTCTCTCTCTCTCTTCTCTCTCTCTCTCTCTCTCTTCTCTCTTCTCTTCTCTCTCACTCTATCTTTTTTTTTTTTTGAGTGTACCATGTCGCATGGTTTGCTGTCACGTCCAAGGGAGAGGGGGAAGTAGAGAAAGGGGGGGTAGGGGTAAGGAAAAAGGGACGAGAGGGAAAAAGGGGGGAAAAAGACGAAGAAGGGAAGAGGGGAAGAAGGAATAAAAAAAGGGAGATCGAGGAGTAAACGCAATGACAAGGTGCCAAATAAGATGCTGAAGAAATGGTCAATTTAGGCTTTGCGTGTTCCCTTCGCTCTCTACTTGGGAGGTTGGTTCTGCGTGGCCTCGATAGATAGAGATAGATAGATAGAAATAGATAGGTGAATGGAGAGATGAACATAGATAGATAGGTATGAATAGAGAGATTAATAAATTGATAGATAGAGAGATGAATGGAGAGGTGAATAGATAGATAGATAGATGATAGAGAGGTAAATAGATAGATAGATAGAAAGATGAAAGGAGGGGTGATAGATAGATAGGTAGAAAGATGAACAGAGAAGTGAATAGATAGGCATATGTTAAATAGATACATAAATAGATAAGTTTTTTTTTCCATAATTAGTTTTCCAGTAAGAGAGAGAGAGAGAGAGAGAGAGAGAGAAGAGAGAGAGAGAGAGAGAGAGAGAGAGAGAGAGAGAGAGAGAGAGAGAGAGAGAGAGAGAGAGAGAGAGAGAGAGAGAGAGAGAGAGAGAGAGAGAGAGAGGAGAGAGAGAGAGGAGAGAGAGAGAGAGAGAGAGAGAGAGAGAGAGAGAGAGAGAGAGAGAGAGAGAGAGCGAGAGAGAGCGAGAGAGTAAAAGTAGAAAGAAGATAAAAGAAAAACGAGATAATACGTCGATATATAGATAAATAAATAAACAGATTGATAACTTAGATAATCAGATCGATTGACGGATACATACATGGACAGACCGATAAACAGAGAAACAAATAGACAGATAAAGAAAGTGAACATTAGCTAAAAAAAAGAAAAAAAGAAAAAAAATCACCCAGAGAAATAACTGCGGTTCTTCCCCCTCACTCTATCCCTAGGAATGTATACCCTCGGCTGCTAGTTGGTATGAGAGGGGGGGGGGAGAGGGTTATGAGGGAATAGGGGTATGGGAAGGGGAGGGTATGAGGAGTAGGGGTACGGGTAGGGGTGGGTATGAGGGGGTAGGGGAGGGGATGAGGGGGTATGGGTATGGGTAAGGGAGGTATGAGGGGGGGTCGGGGTACGGGTAGGGGAGGGTATGAGGGGGTTCGGGGTACGGGTAGGGGGGGTATGAGGAGGGTATGGGTATGGATAGGGGGGTATGAGGGGGGTAGAGGAAGGTATGAAGGGAGGGAGGGGGAAGGAGGAGGGGAAGGAGTGAAGTAAGGCTGACCACCGAAATATTAGATTAGATATGTACCCTCTTTTTTCCCTCCCACCTTCCTCTCTAATCTTTTTTCCCCCTTCCCTTCTCCGTCTTTTCTTTACCCATTTTTTTTGTTCTCTCTTTTTATACTATTTTTTTCTAATGATTATTTATATTTATCCCTCCTCCTTCTCCTCCTTCGCACTCTGCCAGCATTGCAATGTCAGCGACCTAGCAACTACCCAGAATTTCCTATATATTTTCTAGGTAATCTTTTGCGTATGTAAATGGGCTTCAGAATGAGTAGCCATTGCGGAGTCTTAGGGAAAGGGGAGAGGGGTGGGGGAGGGGAAGGGAGGGGAAAGGGGAGAGGGGAGAGGGAAGAGGGGAGGGGAAAGCGATGAAGGGTAAAGAAAGAAAGTGGAGAGGGGAAAGGAAAAGGGGAGAGGGGGAAAAGGGGTAAGGGAAAGGGGAAGTGGAGGAAATGAAGGGAGAAAGGGAGAGAACTAGGAGAGGAAAGGGGAAGGGGAAAGGGGAAAAGAGGGAAAGGAGAAAATGGAAGAAAAAAGGATGGAGAAGGAAAGGAGGAAAGAAAGGAATAAATAAATAGAAAAAGAGGTGAAGAACGAAAAGGGTATGAAATGCAAGGAGGGAAAAGGGGAATGGAGTAGGGAGAAAGGGGAAGGGGGAAGGGGGGGATAGGAGGGAGGGGGGGAGCACGCGGAGAGAGCTAAGAATGACAAATGCCAGTATGACAGAAAGATTCAAGGGTGACACTCTCTCAGCTGTCAGGAGATGGCACCGGACAGAACTCAAACCACTGAAGAGGCACTGGAGAGAGAGAGAAAACAAATATTTAAATAAATAATAAAAGAGATAATGAACCGAAGGCGAAAAATGACAGTAATTCTTTAAACGACATTTGAATATTTTTTTGAACGAAAAGAAAATGACTGACTTGGATGATGTCTTTGGAATTACTCTGAAATGACTCATCTTTGTCTCGTGGTTCCGTACGTCGTTGTGGCGATAAATTCTATAATAAATCATTTATAGGGACACATTTTCGTACGTTCCTTGTGTGTCGTGTCTGTTTAAAACGTTCTTTATGATTTACCTGATTTTTATGCTTCTCTCTATATTTACATCAATTTAAATAATTATGTATATATATTTGTAGTGACACACACACATAAACTACATATAAATAAAATACAAAACAACATAAGCTAATATTAACTAATATGTCCCCTATACACCCTACATAACTAAGACAGTCTCTTCCTATACATTCTATTGCTATAAAGACGATACAAACCAAAGCCGTTGCCACGAACACAAACACACCTAAGCCATATGATCCCATAGTCAAACCTCAGCGACGCATTCGGACACCTGGGCGAGATAACCGCCAAAAATGAGACCAAAACACCTGACCAAGGGGGAAGGTGGGGGGGGGGGGGCGGCGGAGACAGGGGTAAATTCCAAGGGTATATTTTGGTGGTTCGGTGGTTCGGTGGTTGGCTTGTTTAAGAGGCCTGTGTTTTAACGTGGGTTTTGGGGTTTGATGTAAAACGGTTGGGATCGGTTGGGTTCAGTTTATTTCGATTTTTTTTTCCTTTTTTTCTTTTTGTATGATTTTTCTTTGGTGGAATTTTATTTTCATTATATTTTCGCTTGTTTTTTTTTTTTTGTTCTTTTTTAAAATGTTTTTATTTCCTAAACCAAATTCTTTCTCTCTCTGTTTCTCTTATTCAGCTCTTCTATATTTCCATCTGTCTAACTTGGGTCTCACACTTTTCCTCTCTCTCTCTCTCTTCTCTCTCCTCTCTTTTTTTCTCGCCTTTCATCCAGAACTTATTTTCTGCCTTTATCTGTACGCGTGGCATAAGAAATATCTTTAATCTAAGAGTGACTTGGATATTTTAGCTGAATGTAGAGGCTGACTTACATATTTCACATGACTGAGAAGCAAAGATGACGCGGCCCTGTCCTTCTAGAATATATTTAGGGGTAAAGATGATTAAAAAAGTAAAAATATTTTCTATTTTTTCATAAAGACAAAATCCTTCGGGATTTTACATTCTTTTCAATAATGTGTTGTGAGGAATGTGTGAGAAGTATTCGGGTTTTTAGAAGGTATGATTTTTTTTTTTTTTTCTAAATAGAAAATGAGCTTGCGTGGTTTTGGTTTAGTCATTTTAGATTTGTAGTGAGATCCTTTTTGAGGTTTGGCATTTTTAGTTTAGTCTTTTCTTTTCTCTCTCTCTTGTCTCTCTGTATGGTTGTGGTTTTTGTGTGTTGTGTTGTGTGTATGTGTGCTGTCTCTTTGTAGGACTCTCACGCATCGTCACGTGTGGCGCGTCAGCCCAGATTTGGTCGATGAGGCCCCTCCGTCCCCTTAGTCTCCCATCTCACTTTTCTCTTCGTGCTTCCGGTATTAACGCCTGCGGCCGCCGCCCGACCCCTCTCTCCATCGTTGCCAGACCAAGAAGCACCCTCCGAACCACATCAAGCGCCCGAATGAAATGCCTTCATGGTGTCGGTCGCAGATGGAGCGCCGCGAAATAGTGAAATTCGCGCCCGACACACACAACGCCGAGATCTCCAAGCAGCTGGGGCGCCGCTGGAAGCTGCTGACGGAGGAGCAGCGCCGCCCGCCCGAGGAGGCCGAGCGGCTGAAGCAGCTGCCCTCCGCGAGTACCCCGACTACAAGTACCGCCCGCGCAAGAAGTCGAAGGATCCGCTGAAGGGCGTGTCGGAGCGCAGCGGCGGCAAGGTGGCCAAGGTGCACCAGATGAACAGCATCTGCAAGGAGTTCGCCAGCAGCATCAAGACGAGCGGCAAGGACTGCGCGCAGGCGGGCAAGACCGGCCTGCCGCAGGGGCACCAGATGGACATGCAGGCGCTGGACGACCCCGTCGGGTGGTCGCTGCCGCTCACGCCGACGTCGCCGCCGCGCGTGCCCACCAGCCCGACCACCTCCGACCTGCCCGACTCGCCCGAGAGCGCCTTCAACTTCGACGAGCACACCTTCGTCAGGTCGACGTCCTTGGCGCCGACGCAGACGTACTGCGCGAGGATCGAGAGCATGACGCGCTCGTCCGCCGCCTTCCACAGCGCCGTTCCGAACGCCCTCGCGTCGCCGGGCAGCAGAGAAAGGCCGCGGCGACCGGCGGCGCTTTCGGCGGCGCGCCCCCGAGACAGCCGCCCTTCGCGCCCGGCTTCTTCCCCGAGCAGAAGCTGGCCAACGGCTTCCTCAAGCACGATTCGCTCGCCAACATGAGTTACCTGAAGCAAGAGCCGGAGTTCGCCGAGCAGCTGCTGGCCCACCACCGCCAGCAGCAGCAGCAGCAGCAGCAGCACGAGCAGGAGTACCACCAGACGTGTCTCTACTCGCCCGTCAACTCGCAGACATCCTTCTTCGGGCCGGCCCTTTCGGCGCACGCGGACCACCACCACCACCACCAGCCACATCACCACCACCACCACCATCACCACCAACAGCACCAAAATCACCATCCTCACCACCACCAGCAAACAGCATCACCAGCACACCACACACCACCACCAGCAAACACCACCACCAACAGCAACATCAACACCAGCACCAACAACAACAACAGCAACAGCAACACAACATCAACAGCAACAGCGACACCAGCAGCAGCAGCAGCAGGTCCCGGCCGTCCCCGTGGTCAAGGTGGAGGCCCCGGAGGCGCACCCGGCGACCCTCGACGACCTCGACAACATCGGGGTCACGGAGCTCATCCCCATGACCTCTGACCTGAAGGTGGAGCTCGAGTCCCTGGCCGACCTGGGCTACGAGTCGGGCGGCTCCGTCGGCAGCGGCGGCGGCGGCGGAGGGAACGGGGGGCGGAGGGAAGGCGGCGGCGGCGGGAACGGCGGCAGCGGCTGGGCGAGCGTGGGCGCGGCCGCGTCGTCGCCGTCCAACGTGCTGGCCGACTTCGAGATCATGAACGCCTGGATCAACTCGTGAGCGCCGCCGGGTGCGGACCCGCGCGCGCGCTCTCTCATCGGCTACTGTTCATGTCTTTCAAAAACTTCTCTCCTGTATTAATTCAACGAATTTCGCCCGTGCGGCTGTATATTGTTGTTGTTATCATCGTAATTATTATTATTATCACTATTATTTTATTTTTCTTATTTATTATGACTGTTTCTTCGTAAGGAACTTGTTTGGCGAAGTGGAGCTGTCGGGAGTCAAGTGTCTGCCAAAGTGGCTGTTTTAAGCCAGCCACTTGCAGTCACGTGTACATAATTCAGTATAAATACAGTATATAAATCGTTACCGGGTATCTGTAGTAATAGTTACCAGTTCAAGTTGATAAGTTATGTGCTTGCCCAGTATTTAAGTTCTTACCTGAACAAAACTGTACCTCTAGTCAGCCACACGAGATCACACTAAGGAGAAAAATCGAACAAAATCCATGAACTAAAAATGTCAGACAGATTGCTGTGCTTCATCGAATCTGAAAAAGCTGTTTGTTTGCATAATATTTGTTTAAACTCATTTTTATTTTGCTTACGCTGATATTTTTTGTATTAGGGAGTTTAAAATCTGTTGTACTTAGATATGGATTATATTTTACAGGTTATGTAACGCACATTTGTTTAATTGAAAAATGATAAATTCTGTAGAAATATTATCATATATCCATTTTTTTTTCAAAGACAAAATTATCATTTAAAAGAAAAAAAGAAATTATTCCTATGTAAGTGTTCAGTCCATATTTCCAGCTTTACACTTTGATTCCACGTTAATTTTTCTTGGATTGAAGTATTTCAGAAAAGTCAAAGATGCAGTCTTGTCCTCATGTGTGTTTAGTCCTCCTGAAGATTTCCATTGTTAGTGAAAAAAAAAAAATGAAGAACAAACTATGTACATTGTAATATATATATATATATATCTCGCCTAATTTTTTTTTTTTTCGTTGTGTGTAAATTTTTTTTTATTTTTTATTTTCTACAACTTTGTACCGTATTTGTGGTAGAATATTAGAGAGTTTTAATTAGATCCTATATAGTTAATATATAAATATATATCATAGAAAGAGAGAAAGAATGGTTGAATGGACGATATTATTCAATTATTATCATTTTTTTTTTCGTATTCCATCGCTCAATCGTTACTTGGATAACAACGAACAGGAACGGGGATGCCGGATTTTTCTTGTTTCTTTCTGTTTCTCATAATTACCAGCTGTTACACTTGCTATTCTCTCCTCTCTCCTTGCCCCATGGACCCCCCCCCCCCACCCCCGAGGTTATATACAATGTTCCTTGCATACACGTTCGTATACTCATTACTCGTATTCGCTCACGGTCATAGGCTCATACACTCATCACTCTGTGCTCTCGCTCACCATAGGCTCATCACTCATACACACACTCATACACTCACATTCATAAGCTCATACACTTATACACTCATATACATTCATAGGCTATACACATACAATCACTCACGTTCATACACTCATACACTCGTACTCCCGCTCACGTTCATGTACTTACCCTCTCACAGTCATGGCTGTGTGTACATCGAGACGAGTACTTGTGTACGAGTACTCGAACACTTACACACACACACAGCCGTTCATGGTCATCTTCACTTTCATATTCACACGCGTACATGGTCACACATTTACACACATGTTAGCATTCCTTACACAGAACACACACACATCCACACCCACCCACCAACCACAACACACACACACACACACACACACACACACACACACACACACAACACACACACACACACACACACACACACACACACACACACACACACACACCACACCACACACACACACACACACACCACACACAACAACACACACACACACACAACAAGAGAGAGAGAGAGAGAGAGAGGGAGAGAGAGTATGCACGTCAACACAGTTTGGGAGAATTTATTGTTGTGGCTCAAATATTTATGCAAACTTATGTATATAAGATATTTATTATTAGGAGTTTCCTATGCATTTATGTAGCTGCAATTGAAAATATTTTATACGTTTGCACCACCGAGAATAAAAGTTACATACTGAGATCTTTGCTTTTCTTTCCGTTCCCAACAACCCACAATCAAAAAAAAAAAAAAAAAAAAAAAAAAAAAACAATAACAATAATAAAGAATAAAAGAAATTTTCCCAAGAATTTCACTAAAGAATATTGTATCGAGATCTTTCTTTTCTTTTCGTTCCCGACAACCCACAGTTAAGACATTTTCCTCTCAAGAATGTCTATAAGAAGATGTCCTGGTGTCTTATTCTCTCTAGAAACACATAAGGAGAGAATATAAAGGAACTCATTATCATCTCTATGGAAATTGGCCAGAAGGAAGCCGGTGTTTGGAGGTTTCATGGCAGTGTGAGTCAAGTTCCTTTCAAAAAGAAAAGAAAAAAAAAGAAAAGAAAAGAAGAAGGAGAGAGAAGGAGGAGAAGACACACACACAGAGATACAGAGAGACAAGAGACAGAGAAAGAGAAAAGAAAGACGAGAGAAAGAGAAAGGAGAGAGAGAGAAGAGAGATAAGAGAAGAGGAGAGAGGAAGAGATGAGAAGAGAGACGGAGGAGAGAGAGAGAGAGAGAGAGAGAGAGAGAGAGAGAGAGAGAGAGAGCGAGAGAGAGAGAAGGAGAGAAGAAAAGAGAAAGAGAGAAAGAGAGAGAGAGAGAAGGAGAGAGAGAGAGAAGAGAGAGAGAAAGAGAGAAGAGAGAGAGAGGAGGAGAGAGAACAGAGAGACAGAGAGACAGAATGAAGACAGAAAGAAGAGAGAAGAAGAGAGAGAGACGAGAGAGAGAAGAGAGAGAGAGAGAAGTAAGAGAGAGACGAAAGAGAGAAGAGAGAGAGAGAAGAGAAGAGAAAGAGAAAGAGGAGAGAGAGGAAGAGAGAGAGAGAGAGATAGAGGAGAACGAGAGAAGGAGAAGAGAGAGGCATTGGTTTTGTTGTTTGTTATCATCATGGATACTAATATTGTGAATGATGATAAACATGATATTGATAATAAGGTGATGGTAAAAATGATTAAAATGAGGATGATAATGATTATAACAAATGATGAGGGTGATTATGATGATAATGAAAATGATGATAATATCGATCATGTAGTTAATGAGAATTATAGTATGATAATGATAACTATAACAAAAAGGATAATAATAATGAAAATGCAAATCATGATGATAACAATAATGAAAATTATAACAAAGATACAACAAACAAAAATGAAAATATATTAATGATAAGAATAAAAACAATGAAAATTTGATAATAATACAACTAAAAGAACGATGATAATGATATCACATTACTATTACAAAGAAATGTAATTATGAAAAAAAGGATAACAATAATATTGACAGCGATAATGATAAAGGCAACGATAGTTATGACTACAATAAGACTAACAGTAGTCATAAGCCTAATAATGTTGATGATGACAATGGCAATGATGATAGAAATGATGGCAATGGTAATGATGATGACATTACTATTACAACAACTACACTAACAATACTATCGACAACTACTACTATTATTACTATCAACAACAATGACCATAGTATAGATAATGATAACGATAATAATGTTAATAATGATAATGATAACAAAATATAATAGTAACAGAACAATAATATAACAAGAGATAACAATATTATATAGTATATATATATATTATATATAATATTATATATATATATATATATATATATATATACTATATATATAGTATATATATAATATATATTTATATATATATTATAATATACATATCACACATACATATGTATGTATATACATGCGTGTCTATATACGCACTCACACACACACACCATAGATATATATATATATATATATATATATATATATATATATATATATATATATATATATATATATAATATATATATATATATATGAATATATATATATTGATATATATATATATAATATATATATGTATATATGTGTGTATATATAAGTATATATATATATATATAATATATATATATATATGTATGTATGTATTGTATGTATATATGTATATGTATAAATATATTATATATATATGCAATATATATATATTTACATATATCTGAATATATATACATAAACATGCAAATACATATGTATATATTAACATACATACATAAATACATACAACACACACACACACACACATAATATATATATAATATATATATTATATATATATATATATATATTATATACATGTATATATATATGCTATGTATAATATATATAATATTATATATATAATAT